GGGTTATTACATGTTAACTATCTTGTTTTAGGTAGTATGTATTTTTACTTCATGGATTGTAATAGATTGTAATATTTTAGATTTATACTTGCACAGGTAATTAACACACCATTCTAGTAGCATAGGTTACATTTTTATTATAGAGACTCTTTGTTATGCTAGTATTTATCTCATCCATTTGAATTTACTTTTGTGTTGTATATTTTCAGTTTTTTTTCTGGTCATTGACCAAAAAACCAGTATTTAATTTTCATGCTTTGCAAGATAAGCCTGATGCATTAGGAAATCATAAATAAATATATAAGTGTTACTAGAAACACAATCTTTTTCACTGTATCCAGTATATCATTTTAAAAAGTGAGGCGGCTTGTCATTCTCCAAGGCATTACTCAGAAACTTTTTCTTTTTTTTGCATTTGGAGGCTGATGTGGATAGCTAATGTGGGACATGTCAAGGGACCCAGCATCCTGCTGACTAGGGCAGAATAGCTTCTCTGGTGGTCCAGAATATACTGAGATTCAAAAAAAATTAAAATGAGTCAGATGATATTGTTACACATCATCTGTCTCTCCTTATATATGCAGGCACCTGGTTCAGTCTGTACTGACACAATAGAGGAGACAAGATAGATGAACAGGAGAGAAAGCAGGATATATTTTTAAAAGGACGATATTTGAAATAAATACGTGTTTCAATTTTCTTTCATCTTATGTGTTCTTAAAAGTGATTAAATTTAAAATGTAGCTTACATTTTTACTGGAAGAGAGTTTGCAACTGCAGCATTTGACAGCATGCATCCTAAAATACAATCATGACCTACGTTTGAGGGGAAGGAAAGGGAATGAGAGAGGAGGGAAAGGGAAAGAAATTAAAAACCAAAAGGGGGGGGGATGCAAAGAATGTGGATAAATTTATCCCTTGCAGCTGTTCAGGAAGAATAAGGGAAAAGGGGAAAATTGCTAAAACGATTTATTCAGATGCCTTGAAAACTTTGAAAAAAATCAGGTGCTAAAATAAGAAAAAAAATAGATTTACCAGAAGAATAAGAATGGCTTGTTAGCTTACTACATCCCCAAAATTAGCCAGCTGTGGAGGAAACAGCTTGGCAGCAAACCATACCAGGAAAACAGATCAGGATTTCCTGCTGTAATAGAAGCTGCTTGAACAAAACTACAAAACGGGTCAAGATGCAAAAAGATGCCCTTATGAAGGGCCATGTCATAAATCAATTTTACTTGGCTTAAAATTGGGCTTGCATTCCATGCCATTTTTATACTATACCAGTATCACACCCATACTGCATAAATTAGACCAGCAATCAAATCCTGGAACCTCTACACTACAAATGGAAAGTATGCATAGAGTTTTTGTTTCTAGGAGGTGAGCAATCATGATTCCAACTCTGAGGGTCTTCCATGTACTAACTGTGTAAGTTTATGGTAGAATGCTGAAAACTGAATTGCTTTTTAAAAAGAAAAAAACTCTAGATTTTAATATTTGCATATTTTGTTATATTTTAACTTGCTTAGTAATAGAGCTTTTAATCTACTCAATAATTTGCATTTTCTGGAATGGGCAATTTTTCAGTATAAGGATTAATTATTATATAAGGTGATTATGTATTCATGGAAGAATGCTTGTGACCTAGACCCCAAAAAGTGGCTTAATGAAATTTCAGTCTTCAAATTTGATTTGTACTGCCAGAATAGACAATATAATTCTGTATGGTCTAGGTTTAATTCGTTGTTTACACAATGAATCATAATGCTGAAATTGAACAAAGTCAGCCTGATACTTTTTTCTTCTTTAAATGCATTTTTAAAAATATATATATTTAGAATTAGATATTACTTAGGTATGGGGGAGGTTGAATTTTTTTGTTTTGTTTAGTTTTTTTAAGGTTTTTAAAAAACGTCTGTGCTTTTTTACTTTTTTCCCCTTTGTTTTTCTTCCACCCTAAGTAGTTTAGTATACACTTTTCTTTTCTTCTCCTTTTCATTTATTTATTTATTTTAACTCCAGGCCAATTCTGGGTGGCTCACAATATAAAAACAACACTAATACAACAAAATAAATAGAAATACAATAAGAGAAATAGGCAAAATGGCAAATCCAGCTACTACACAGGATTTTAAAAAAATATAACAGATTAGATTTTATCCAGTCTTTTATCCAGTAGTAATATAGTTATATAGCTCTACTGCTATTCAATTTGTATAAATGTTATAAACTAGTTGCTAAGGTGATTAAAGAAGTAATTTTTTTAAAAAAGTAGTCATCAAGTTTAGAATTTATTCATGAATGAGCCCATGAAGCTACCAGCCAATATTTAAAAAAAAAAAAAATCCAGTAAAGAGAACCCCTGGAACTATGGCTAGATTAAGGACAGTTTATGTTAAGAAGGACTAGAGTAAATAAACTCTTGCTTTTATCCATTATCCCATTAATTATCCACCGAATACTCATATAATAAGAGTCTTTCATGCAAGAAAGACTGGGTATATGGATTTCTCTAAAACATTTCCCACTTATTGTTCATGGGTGGATCCCACTTCTGCTTTGAGGAGATATAATAAACCAGCTAAGAATTATGGGTTATTTTTGTTGATCAAAAGGGCTTGGTGGGAGAAGGCAGAGAAAACAATGTGCCCCCACCTAAAGGCCCTCAACTCAAGGTCTATATTTTAATTATGTACTTGAAGAATTCTATTCATTTCACTTCTATTCACTGATAATTTTAACCTGCGTGATTGGGTAAAAAGAGTATAAACCGGAAACATTTTTAAAATGGAACTTTTTGTTCATTAATTTAGATGTAGCTTTAGAAAATGAAATGCACTTTCTTCAAAAGTGATTACAAAATAAAACTGCCATAAATTATCAGCTGAAGTCAATAACCAGAGTCACATAACACACTAAGTCACAAAGAGTTTGTTTTATTTCAGCTCAATTTAATGTTTAAAGCCATCCATTGTGATTTGTAGATCATTGTTCGTGGCTTATAGTAATGAGTGAAAAGGTCAGTATGATCTTTCGTCCAATAAACCACAGTAAAAATAAACCATTGCTGAAAACAGTATGCAAGCCTAGCCAATGAATAAAACTTCAGAGTTGGTTCATATACAGATGTAAGCCATGATTTCATGTTACAAGAATAAGTCATCATAAGCCTTGAACTTACACACTCCTACATCTTCTACTATAATCAGGAGACTGGATATTTCTGTTTCCTGTATCAATTAATCACAGTATAATCTAAACCCTAAACTGTGATTAAACTTGTCTATGCTTAGTAGAAGCAAAACTAAATCATGGTTCAAAGTTAGTTTATTTTCACTAGTCATGGTGATTGTGGGGAACCCAGGGCAAATTTCTGCCTGATTTTTAAAAAGTAAATTTCTAATATTCAGAAAAGAAGAAAATAAATTATGCAATAAAGTTTCTAGTTTAAATATTTAGCAGCAAATAATTACTGAAGAAGTTAAATGGCTAGACACATTCTTTGATCCTTCAATTTTCCAAATAATTTTCCTACACAGAAGGAAAAAACAATTCTAAGTTGTTTGAATTTCTTCTAAGTACTTCCTCAACTATTTTTAAAGCATTCTGAAGAAGGTAATAATTTTAACAAATATATTGCAAATGCATAAATATGCATTCTCCAACCAATATAGGTCCTAGAATTCTGGGATCTATATCTGAAGAATGCTAGACTTGGGGATGTTACTGAATCTGATGAACAATTAATGCTTGTCATATCTTTACAATATGATAATGGCAGCAGCACAGGAACCAGAATGAATGACTGAAGTTATTGAACAATAATTAAGTCAATGAGTAACGCTTTGTCAGACATCTCCAGAAATGTCACTACAACATATGAGTACCTGCATTCCCATTCTTCTCTGAAAGATTTTTTTAAGTGCCTTGTGGGCTCACTACCAAAGTCCTGCTTATCTTTCAATATTTTTTCAAGGTGAAAGAGATGACAAACCCAATTTGATAAACTACTCAAAGCAATGGCCAACTTGATTCTAAAACAAACAACCTCAAAAAAAAGGTCAATTGGTTACTCATTTTATTAAGCTCTCCTATTAGTCACCTTTATCTTATTATTATTTTTAAAATTTTGATCTACTAAGAGGAAAAAAAAAAAGTACAATTTTGGAAAACTCATTTTTAAGGTGTACCATGTGACATTTTTAGGAAGTGGCTTTGGGATGACAAATACGTAAAATTCATCACTTTGCAGAAAGTGGTTGCAGACAACCATTTTCTTCCAACCCCTGCATCTTCCTTCTGAAAGATCTATACTTATGACATGGCAGAATAGCCAAGTTACAATGGCTGAAAAACACTAGTTTTAGGTATGACAGGGTAGGAATGATCTAACAACAAAAAAGGCTACAAGTTAAGCAACATAATGCTGCCCAAATCTACATCAGCATTGCATGTACCGTCTAAATAACTGAATTCTATTCTTTGTTGTAAGTGCATATAATTGTTTATCTTTTAAATTTCAGATTAACCTTGTAAAAACAGAGTTTCCTTTTTCTAGTTATTTTATTACATTAAGTTTTCAAAACTGAATTTTGAAAAATGATTCTATAATGCCTCACTGTCAATCTGCTACTCTACATCCACTTCTCTGGGGCTAAACTCCTTTGAACTAACTGTGACTTCCTTCTCAGTATAAGATTGGGCCACCTATAAATATAGCTCTAATGCCAAAAATATATAAATATGCACCATTATAATCTCATGTCTATCCCTCTCACACATAGTTAAGATTAGAATGTAGTATGTCCATAGCAAACTAGAATTTGGTTGAATTATCTTACTTCTTCCATGGAAACTTTGTGGTTCTAAGTCTACTAAGTAACCTTAATCAAAGAAGTGGGATGAGAATTGCATGTTTCAACTACATTGGCAAAAAAAGGGATGTTATCTGTTCTTTAAAAAAGCTAAATAGGATTACCCAAGAGGAAAACAATACTGACCTTCATTCTTGGATATAGTTTCTTTACTCTCTGGTGTTTTATCTGGCATCTCAGCTGAGAAATGTTCAGTGAAACCTGAAGGACATTTAAAAAAAGGAAATTCTTTTCATGTTGAGGCCAGTACAACTGAACAAAACAATACTTTTCCCTAAAGTTTAGGATATAATCAATAAGTAAAGTCTCTGGGCCTCCAAGCAAACCTCTCAAATGGGGCCCACCAATAGCAAGAGTACCCAGGCACCAAGGGCTCCTCTCCAGCAACAGCAACTGAGGATGGACAGGAAAAAGGGGAGGCTCACCATAACTGGCCTTCTAAAATCAAGTGCTCATCCAGATTTTTGCAGCTGAGATAATACGCCAATCCTCTTTCCCCTTGTTCCTTCGAAAGCAAAGAGGAGGAGATGGTAGCAGTGTCTCCTTCCTCACTGGTTCACTTCTTCCTTCCTTCTTCCCTCCCACAATTCTCTTCCATTAGGGCTCCTATTGGGACCCTGCATTTAGGTTACCATGTTTAGATTACAGAAATATGGACAACCAACAAATATAATAGCAAAAACTCTGGTACCATTAGTGTATGATAAGGTTTGTTGAAGTTGTGGGGCAAGAAGTAGGCAGCAAGGTTGAGTCCAAAAGGTCCTGTGCCTATGGACCCTAAGATGGCTGCCTTCCTTGACTTCACTATATTTACCTCACTTACACTTGTAACTATTCCACTTGCTCCCCGTTTGCTTTTACATGAACACAAGTCAAACCAGGACAACACAATAAATGTATAGGAATACTAAGAATTTCCTTTTAAATGCTTTGTACAGCTCTACTCAACACATCCTGGAGGACTTCTGACAAATATGTCAAAGTTATACAGAGTTGTATGGGAGAAACCATCATCTAAGGTATTCTGTACTCAAGTTGCTTAATGGCTTTTACTTTATAACAAGTAAAGACTTCTATAAACTGAACTCAATTTCTGATTTCATGGAACTATTGATGTAGGATTTGTTTCAAAATGATGCTTTATGCCAAGCATGTTGGCATAAGCAAAACAACCCTTCTCAAAGCATTAAAGAAGCCGCATTCGTTGGAAATCTTGGCATGGCAGTCTTGTAGATTTTCTGTTCTGCTTGTCTGTGCATATACAGGGAACTCTTCCTTCGGGACCTCCAGCAGAGCATCCTGGGTTAGGGCTTTTGTTTTGTTTTTACCATTAATAAAGGAAACAGCCTGCTACTGACTTCTTCTGGAATGGTTTTTAAGCTTCCTAGTCCAGCATAATGCCTTGGGATTTTCTGAAGTTCTCACATCTAGTACTAACTGGGTCTGACCTGCCTTAGCTTTCTAAGATCAGTCAAGATTGGCTACTGCTGTTATCTACTACTGAAAGCCTAAATCTGACCAGTTAGCAAATATGTATCCAGTACATTCCTTTAACCAGCCTCAGCATACAGTACCATAATCTTGCCGCTGCATTTTTCGTAATTTGCCATTTTTATCCCATGCATAAGAACAGCATAAATTGCACTGCAGTAACAGAGAAGTGTCATCATCAATACCTAAGTTACCATGGCTAAGCTAACTCTATTCATAATTAGGCATAGCTAGCATACTAGTCACAGTTAACAAAAGGGACTTTTTCACACTGTAACTATTTAGGATTCAACAGCAAAAAAGATTCAAGGCAAATTAACTATTTCCCAGACTAGGAACCATCACTAGTTTCATCTAATGGCCCCAGCCCTGATTCCAGATCATTCTTGCACTTACACAGTGGAGAAAGCTGAATGCGTGCCTCTTAAAAAGTTAAGCGGCCTTTATGTGTCATGAACCCTTAGCACATCATTTTCACTCTTGCCAACTTCCAATATTAATTTTAGATAAATGTTGAAACAATGTCAAGTAACAATTTGTCAAGCCTTCAATTAATTTAACTTTCCTGAGTATACACTACTGAGTGATGAAAGCATCATGTTACTAGAGTCACTCACAACATAACTGAGACAGCTTACTGAAAAGCTGAACTGCTAGGAGACTATCCAAACACAAATCTACAGAACTGTATTTGATTTAGAATTACGTTGGGTAGACAACCACACTGCTGGGTAGACAACCACACTGCTGATACATTAACCTGGATCTCTTCCAGACATTACATGCTCCATGCCTATTTGAAGGGGAAGAGGAAGAATTGTTCAGAAACACTACCCTTACCTCTGAGTACTTTATATACATTAATAATGTTATGTTATTGTGCAAGTAAATGTATGAGAAACTAATACAAATGAAAGGATGGTGTCTAATTAACTCCTTCCATTGATGGAAATATGTCCACAAGAGGTGAGTAAATAGAGTAGTTTGCTCCTACAACCTCCTAAATTCTCAGAACATACTATAGGCAAGGAAGAGAATCTATAGGGACAAAAAACTAGGGGAAATACTTAAGATAGGCAGAAGTGTGTTTGGACAAGAATGGTTTTGCCCAAAGGTAAAAGTGAATGAATGCAGTTTACTGGTGGAATATATGGTCCCTGTTATCTGCGGATAGAAACACTGGCTGAAATCCTGGAAGACCACTACTGGATCACATATTCATCCCTAAGCTAGAAGGACCTATGGCTTAACCTTCCACAATGCTCATCCCTACCATTCAGTGGGATTCTGACACAGGAAATTTATAACACAAAATGGATTTAAGTGGCATTGACAGCCCCGATTTTGGCTAATGACTGGATATGATGTCTGGTTGCACAACTGAAATAAGCAATGTGGTTGTCATGATTCCATCTGATGCACCTTCATATACTGTAGTTTTAAAATTGTAACCAAAAATTGTTACACAAAGCACTTTTTTAAATGATGGAATCTTAGCTGAAACCACCTAGTAAAAAGGGAAAAAGTGGTATTAACACCGACAAAGACATACATTCTATAAATTCAACAAAAAGGAACTAGGCTCAACCCAGTGACATTTTCAGAAGGAACTGGCATTTTATATTGGAAGAAGTTTACATAGTGGTTCATTATGTTCTGAACTTAAATGGGTTCTGCCCTGTCATATTTTTAGACATATATCTCCACCATCACTATACTCTTTCCAAATACACCACTGAATACAATAGCAATTGTGTGCATTGCTGGATACACTGCTTTTGCTACAGGCTGATAATCGAGAGTTGATGCATATTACAGAAACGGAAGAGTTTAATTCCAAATAAAACTTGGATTTATTCTACAGATATTCATGATATTCGATGATAAACTGGTTATCATGTCACAGGGCTTTGTCACTAGAGGGAATCCAGATCACACCATTTTAGTACGTACATATTCCCTTTCAGGATAAGCAACTTTATGCAGAGGAAAGAAATGGAGTCCTTGGTTAACAACAGCAATTAGGACCAGAATTTCCATCGCTAAGCAACGCAGTTGTAAAGCGCAACATCACAACTGTGGCACTTAGCAACGGCATTGTTAAGCAAATCCCACACTGTTGTTAAGCATGATATCATATGGTCACCATTTGTGACCTCCTGTCAGCTTCCCATTGACTTTGTTTGCCAGAAGCCAGCAGTGAAGGTTGGAAATGGCGATCACATGAGTGTGGGACTCTGCAATGTCATAATTGCGAGCCAGTTGCCAAGCATCCACATTGCGATCATGTGACTGCGGGGATGCTGCAACAGCCAGAACTTTGAGGACTGGTCATAAGTACCACTTATTCAGCGCCATCACAAGTTCAAATGGTCGCTGAATGAGTGGTCAAGCAAGGACCACCCGTAAGAAATAGTAAGCCAAAGAATTTAAAGGCTAACTTACATGAATACTATTCACTATGCATCTCCTTAACTTTTCATCATTGCACACCATCCTCATTTGCACCATTTGTACACTGCCATTTTATATTTTTATCTCTTTCTTTCTGAAGATCTTATCAACTACATCCCACTACCATTTTTCAGTCTTCACCTTCTTCCAAACCCATTCATTCTTCCTTCATTCACTCAACAAGTGAATAGAGAGCGCTAACAGTTTGGCAGAGGAGATGGAAGAGGCAGAAGAGGGAGGAGGATGAACAGCCAAGAAGAGAGGAAAGATTGTTAATTGCTGTTGTTGCCTGTTTTCTGAACGCTGCTGATTGCACTTTGTGATGTTGATGACTACTGACTGCCCATTGGAGCAACTGGAGCATTGCTTGCAGCTGATCTGGCTGAGGCAGCTTCAGGAGGTATATAAGGAAGCCAATTCCCAGAGAGTGAACTCACTGAGCAAGCAAACAGGAAGAGCAAAGAGGAGTTCAGCAAGCACTTTTTTTGTGACCCACAGGGAGTGTGCCATAGTTTCCTCCCTGAAGGCAAGAACTATACATGCTACAAGAGTAAATTGATTGCCCTCTGGAAAAGAGATGAAGAGGCTAAAGCAAAACTGTCTATGCGTGCACGCGTGTGCACACATACACACACACAAGCTTCTCAAGGAAGATCAGAATTCTTAAAACAGAGTGACTATAGCACCAAGAAGCCTTCCTGAATATAGAAGAAAGTGCTGTCCTTGCTAAATTCTTTATATCAAAGAGAGTCAAGGCAGGGCAATTTTGAATTTCTTCCTCACCTCCTTCTATGTTTCTGGGCTAAGCTCATATTGTAATGGTTGTTCCATTCCTTCTTCAAGGCTATTTCTGTAATCTCTACAGAAATTCTCCAGAGATCCTTGCACTGGGCAGGGTGGGACTGGATAATCTCCAAGGTGACTTCCAACCCTTAGATTCTATGAGATAAATAGATATGCACATACACACACACAGACACACACAGAAAACTCTCACTTCCATGGGAAGAAACTCACCCCTGTACACAGCCATTTTCACTAAAATACCTTTCCTCATAACAGATAATACAATTATGTCTCTACCAGCCTTTCCTTAATTTTTTTTCAAAGCATTTTTCCTAATAAACATTTTATCAAGGTATACCTATTCATCTATCTGCTAGAAGTTTTGGTTTTGGGGTTTTGTTTTGTTGCCATTTAAGCATAATTTGCAAATACTCACTCCATTTTCCCCATCAATCATAGCTATCTTGATT